CAGAAGCCCTGGACCCGACCCCTTCTCCCCACAGCCCTCTAGAGGCCAGAGCGGAGGACCCCACATGTGGTTATTGCTCACTGTCCACGCTCTAGCGCCGGCCACCAGGCAGAACCAGCTCACGTGCCCTGCATGATGTGTCTGGAGTGTGGCCACCAAGTGCTGTGCCTGTGGGACCATGGGGTCACCCGGCTAGGAGGTTGGGAGGCCCCGAGGGTGTGGGGGCCTGGGCAGGAGAGGAGTGCACAGGCCCTCATCTCCTCCCACCCCATCCCCCAGATACTACTTCAAGAAAGTGAGTGATGAGTTTGACTGTGGCGTGGTGTTCGAGGAGGTTCGGGAAGACGAGGCTGTCCTGCCTATCTTCGAGGAGAAGATCATCGGCAAGGTTGAGAAGGTGGACTGAGCAGCAGGCCCGGCCTCTGCACCAGGCTGTGCTCTCGTCAGGTGGGACAGGGAGGGCCGCGCAGAGCCACGAAGGGCTGTGCCACATCAGGTGCTCTCACGTGTGTGCAGACACAGCGCTCCTCGTGTAAGGCCAAGGACTGCCTGCCCCCTGCCGCCCCGCTTCGGGCCATCTGTGTCCAGGTGAGCGGGAGTCCCTCTGAGTGGTCCTACAGGCATCTGTCCAGCTGCCAACGAGGGGGCCCCATCCACCCCTCCACAGCACTACTCCGATAGTCCGCCCAAACAAGCAGGGAACCCTCTGCAGGGCCGCCTTGATGACCTTTGCCAGTGGGCCCCTGCCGCTAACCACGGGCCCACACCCTGGTGCCTCTCCCAGGGCACTCACACCACGGGCTCTGCCTCTCCCTTCAGGACTCGCCCGCCATGCCCTGCCCTTGTTGGGCCTAACCCAGGCCCAGGGCTCAGGGGGCCCTTGGGTCCTCTAAATTGTACATGTCACAGAGTGCCTTCAACACAGCTTGTCTCTTGCTGCCACTGTGTGGATCCGGCAATGGGGCGCCTCATTGCTCCCTCTCCACCCTCAGTCTCCACAGCGCTGGCTCAATGGATCTTGGGCCCCTCCTTTCTGAGGGCCCATGTAAATATGTACATTTCTCAGGCTAGGGCCAGCAGGGGGCTGCCCCAGCCCGTTTTTCATGCGCTGACTTGTACAATTATCTTTTCAAAGGTACTTGGATAATAATGAAATAAAATCAGTTTAGAACCTCCCCTGGCTGTGGAGTATACAGCTCTTCCATCAGTGGGCCCTGGTAGTGGGGAGCATCACCCTCAGCCAGCTTCTGCCACAGGTGGCCTGTCCCCTCTCTCCCGGCCTGCTCTGTACAGTGCATGTCCAGCATCAGCAGCAAGGTCACGCTGGCATCCAGAGGCCTTGGGAATGGGGTGTCTTGTGGAGCCAAGATGGCAGAGCGCTGGAGAGGGACGGGCCAAAGCTGGCAGCAACATCACGTCCCCCATTCCTGCCCAGGTGGGGACCCAGACTCAGACCTGAGTGCGGGATCCGCTGAGGAGGACTGGGAGTAAGGTCTAGGCCTCATCCAACATAGAACCCCAGGAGGCTGAGATTTGGCCAAAGCCAAGGGCTAGGGGCCAGCTATGCTCAGGAACCACACACAGTGCAGGACAAAACTCTTTATTCAGTGCCCACAACTTCCCAGGCACCCGAGGAGACCGCTCCCTAGCACTGATGGGGTGGCTACAGCTCCTCCTTGGGCTCCACAGTGGAATTGGCTGCCGTCTCCTGGAAAGGGTCACAGAGGGGCAGCTTCCAGCCGAACCCTGCCTAGGCAGTCCCGTGACCACCCGTCCAGAGACTTGTCCAGAAGCCTGGAACCCTGGGACAGAGGCACTCACCGGGAAGGGGGCCAAGGGCTCCTTGGTGAGCTCCTCCTCAGGTAGCTTGCCCCCATTGTCCAGGAACTTGGAGAGGGTCTCCAGGTCCCGGGCACCTCTGTAGTCAATCACCTGAGGAGGGTGTGGAGGATATGCCAAGTCCTCCCAGCCCCTGCCCTGGCCAGGCCACACCCACCCTACCCCACACTCTACCCTCCACAGTCTGGGGCCCCACCCTAACTGAGACCCTGTCCAACCCAAGGCCAAGGCCACACCCTGTACTGGCTGAGCCTTGTACTCTGAGGCGCAGCCTATCCCAGAGCCCACCTATTAAGGCCACACTCTGAGGTCGTGCCCATTTCCATCTCAGGACTTGGACCAAGGAGGGTGGGGTCCTGCCTCACCTTCTGACCCTGCCCTGCTGGGAAGTATTTGAGGGTGGGGAAGCCATGCACAGGGAAGGCTTCCAGCTCATTGGCCGTGGCATCTAGCTTGGCAATGATGATGTCCTCATGGTCCCTGTACTTCTCAGCCAGTGCCTCCCAGGTCGGTGCCATCTCCTTGCAGTGGGTACACCAGGGGGCATCTAGGACAGGGGGGTGTCGGCACGGCCAGCTGGACCCCATACTGCCCTCCACCCACCGTCCACTGCCCTCCACACTCACAGAACTTGATAAACACATTCTTGGTTTCATCAAAAGCCACCTGCTCAAAATTCTTGCCCACGAGGGTCTTGACTGGATGCTGGTCCCAGTCAGGGGGGATCTCCTGGCTCAGAAGATAGGGCTGGGGTGGAACCAGGCCAGATGCTTCAGTGGGGGTCTCTCCTGAGAGCTGCTGTTCCCACTCCACACCCTGAGTGGGCCACCCAGCACGGACCTTGACCTTGCCACCAAGGACTGAATGGCAGAAGGCAGCTACTGAGGCGGCAGTGACCAGTTCCTGGTCTGCAGGCATGTACTTCTTAGTGGTCTCCATGTTGATGAAGCGCAGAGTAGGGGCCTCCTCTGCTCTGAGCCCGAAGTACTGTAGCACGTGGCTGTTGTCGGCACCCACGTCCACCACCACGAACAGCACCTGCCAGCAGGGAGTGAGCACCGGGCACTGGCCCCCCCACCCCCCACCCCCCACCCAGCCAGTACCTTCCCCCTGAATGGAGGCGCTGCTTCCCTGAAGCCTGCCAGTAGCTCCTGGTGTGGGGCCAGCGTTTGGTTGATGAATAGCAGCAAGTGGTTGAGGATCCTGGCCCCAAAGATCTTGGGGGACGTCTGCGGAGGCAGGTCAGACTCATGGGGGCTGGCTCCCACGGTCCCCCTCCCGTTGCCCCGATGCCTGCTCCTGTGCGTGCCCCTGCAGCCCACTCACCTGGCTGTTGTACTCAGTGACCAGGTGCATGCTGTGCGTGAGGAGGAAGCGGGACAGATCATCCTGGTCCAGGCCCAGCTCCTCATCCACTGGGAAGTCTGCCCGTCCCTCGTCAAACTGGACAACACCAGACGGGTCAGCAGGAGCCATAGTCCCTACCCTAACCACCGCCCTGGCTCTGACCCACCTTCTTAAAAAGAACCACAGTGTCCTTAGTGAGGCCAAACTTCTGAAAGAGCTGCGGCCGGTCGGTGAGGCCAAAGGTCATATCCAGAGCATCCTGGGCCAGAGCCAGGAAGGTAGCCACATCCTCACCCTGCAGGTCCTAAGGGGCCCATGTCTGTGAGACCAGCTGGGGCCACAGGCCCTGCTCCCAAGGCCTGGACCCTGGTGCCACTAGCTCACCTGGAAGAAGCCAATGACCACTACGTCCTGGGCATCTATCAATGCTTGGGCGCCCTTCTCATCCTCCAGGCGTGTAGTGCTGGGACCCACCCGCCGCCTCAGCCACTCAGCGATGCCCTCGGCCTCCCGGGGGCCTGTGGAGAGCCTCGTCAGCCTGGGTCCAGCCCCTGCCCACCCCACCCCACATACACCTACCCCCGTACCAGTATACTCCTCCGGGTGTGTGCGGTTCCCATCACGGAAGAACTTGAGTGTGGGGTACTCTATCACAGCAAACTCTTCAGTCAGCTCTGGCTCAGAAGGCCCATCCACCTTGGCCAGCCTGGCTGTGGCTGACTCTGCTGCCAGCAGGGCAGCTGCCTTGATGTACTCTGGGGCCAGTGCCTTGCAGTGTGCACACCACGGGGCGTCTGGGGGACAGGACCATGAGTGCCCCCGGCCTCCACAGTGCCAGCCGCAGCCCTGCTCCCGCCCGGCCAGAGCTGGCAGACGTAGGGTCAGTTGGGTCTAGCATGGAGCATGTGCTATCTACACCCCGCTCCTAGAGGGGCCCGTCCAGCCCCAGCCGCGTTGTGCCCACACACCAGGGACCAGACTGCGCAAGGCCCACAGATCGGGGAGCAGTGGCCAGCACCTCCCAGACAGTGTATTTGAGAAGGATCTTCCCACTGCTGCTCCCTGCGGCGGCGCTCCCTGCCATATGCTGCTGCCTGTCGGTGCCTGCCAGCTCAATGGCTTTTATATGTGTAAAAGGTGGTAAAAAAGCCACAGAAGGATATGCAAGGCATGAGTTTTTATCTGGCCCTTCACAGAAAGAGTCTGCAGAAGGACAAAGACCACATGTCTCCCCTCCACCTGCACCTCCTCTCCCACCTGCTCAGGCTGGACCCCCAGCCCAGCCCCAGAGCTCTGCCTCAGGTGCCCTGTGACGGAGCCCTGTGCCCACCAGAGAAGTGCCTTCAAGTGCATAAGCCACCACCGAGGCCACACGGGGTGGGGTTGAGCACACTAGGTGACACCTGCGGGTCTCCTGGCCCTGCTGACCCTGTGCACTCACAGAACTCCACCAGTAGGGCAGGGTGGTCCCGCAGGGCCAGGCCCAGTGTGCGGTTGCTCAGCACCAAGATCCCATCCTCCTCAGGAACCTCTTCCTTCCAGGGCTCCTCTGAGGGGCCCCCAGGCCCTGGGCTCTGCCCCCATAGGCCCGAGGCCCCGAGCAGCAGCAGTAACCACACAGACAGGAGCGGGCTGTCCATGGCAGTGCTGAGGCCCACAGGGCGGGGGCAGATAAGGGGGCCAGGGGCCAAGTAGCAGCTGCCACGTGGCAGCCAGTCCTAGTTGCAGGAAAGATAAGGCCATGAGGCTCCCCCCACCCTGGGGGAGGGGAGGTAGACAGAGGCGACACCGTGGGCACTGAGACAGGCGTTTAATGGGGCTATTCAGGGCACAGTGCCAGGCCCAGGAAGGGGGTGTCCTGAGGCGGGGCAGAGGTCATGAGGGGTCTAGTCACTGACAGAGGGGCTGGGGAATGCTCGGGGGTCCCTGTGCAGTGACTGACAGAGGCAGAGGAAACCAGGACCCCAGGTGGGAAGACAGCTCCCAGGGCAGGGCAGGGCAGGGAGGGTGGGCGGGCGCTCAGCTCTTCCAGTCCTGGCAGATGCGGAGGCCCCACTCCCAGGAAAGGTGGTCTGCCCTGTCGTCGTCAGTGAAGAAGGATGTGACCACATAGGCGCCCCTCACCAGTGCGCCCCGAGGCGCCTCTTCCACCGGAGTTACAAACTCGTACTCCTGAGTGCTTGGGCCGTAACTGCCCACCATGTACACGGCCTTGTCCACTGGGGGAGAGGGAGGGCATCAGGGGCTGCCCACTGTGCCACTGGCCCCCTGCTCCCCCGCCCCCAGGCCGCCCCTTCACAGGGCCCTCACCTCTCAGGCCCCTGCGGTAGGTGTGATGCAGACACTTGAGGCCACTGACGATTTCCTTATTGACCTGAGGGACAGAGAGTGTTAAGGGGTCCATCTTGGAGGCTGAGCCTGTGGCTGGCTGGCACTGCCCATGATAGCTGCCCTCACCTTAAAAGTAATCTTCACTTTGTAATCAACGCCCTCCTTCAGGACGAACACCTGGTTCTTCAGTGCAGCCAGCTCCCCTGAGGGAAGAGCACAGCTGAGGGACAGATGCCTGCAGCGGCCCAGACCCTGCCTGGGAGCCCCCACAGTGGGGCCGTGTCTGTGAAGTCTGTGTGATGGGCCTGAGGACCGGGGTTTGGCATGGGGTTCGAAAAGGTCTCCACCCCAAAGGGCATCCTGTGGTTTGCAGAAGGGCGTTACCTGTGAGGTCCATGGTCATGGGCCCCGGAGCCTGCTCAGACATCAGCGTCAGCCTGGTCACCTGTACGTTGGGCAGGCTCGGGTCTGAGGAGAAATTGGAGGTCTACGGGATGCACCCCCCAATTTTCACCCCCACCCCCCACATCCAGGGCCCATTCATACCCACAGCTAGCGGCAGGGACCCCAGAAGCACCCGCTTGTACTTGGCCAGGCTCTCATCCTCTGGGTCCAGCTGCTGGATCTCTAGGAGGCTCTTCCTCCCTGGGGCCCGGTACCCTGGCACAGCCTCGTCCAGCACCTCATCTGGTGGCAGCTGCCCCCCTTCTTTGTCTGTCAGAAGGACTGGAGTTGGGGAGGTGGGTGAGCAAATGCCACCAGCTATCCTGGGCATTCACTTGTGAAACTGGAGCCCCCGCATCTGGTCGGTTGTACCTCCCCCTGCCAGCAGGGGCTTGGAGGGAGGAGGTGTGGGGCTGGGGAAGAAGGTGTGAGCTCAGAGAGGCAGGGGTGTATGGGGCCTCAGGGAGACGGGCGGGCTGTAAGACAGTAGCATCCACACCCTTCAGGAGGGGCCCTGGGGGTTGGCGCAGGTTCACAAGAGCCAAGTGACATTTCCGGAGGCACCAGCTGCCTTCTTCTGGCCCAGCCATCCATCCAGGACCCCTCCCTGACTCTGAGGCCAAAGGGCGGGGGGGGAATCAAGACCCCCAAATAGGGGACATCTCCAAGGACTGGGGACCACCACCATTGAGTGGTGAACTCCAAAGTCTTTCCTGAAGCAGAGGCCCTGGCCCCATGGTCCTCTGGGACCCCAGTGCTCCGAGGCCTCTCTCCGTAAGCCCACAAAGCTCTCAGAAGCCTCTGGCCCCTATCATCCTGCTCAGTCAGGGGCTGGGGTCTCTGATTGCCTTGCCACAGTTCTAGGAGTTTCTTCCATAGATCCCTGGGGTGTGGGGTTAGCTTTCCTCAGCTTGAGGTCTGGGGCCACCTCCCAGAGACTCCTAGAGCCCCTTCCTAAACTGGGCTGGGAGAGGGGTCTCTAACCCCTTTCCACAGTGCCTTGGGACAGGGTTTGTCCGACTCCCTGCCCATTGCGCTCCAGTCTCCTCAGGAATCGCCACACACCCTGAAGGAGTCTCAGCCCCACCCAAAGGAGTAGGATGCCTGGAGCAGACCCGCCCACTCTTGGCTCCCATCCCCAAGAGTGTTTAGCCTGTAGGAAGCCCCCCAACCTCGTCAGAGCCCAGCCGGGAGGACCATACCACAAGGTCCCCGCGCGCCCCCAAAGTTTCCACGGGGGAGGGGCGGGTCCTTGCTTCAGGCTAAAACCACCTCTCGCCAGAATCCCCCGCCCACGTGGCCGCCCTGGACCCACACGAGCCGGCTCACCTCGGGCGCACAGCGCCAGCCGGAGCAGTTCCAACAGCTGCGCCCCCAGCTCGCACGCGTCCAGGCCCAGCATGGTGGTGGCCAGCGGTCCGGCTCCGCCGCCGAGCCGCCTAGGAGCCGCCGCCCGGCTTGGCGCTCAGCCCCGGCGCGACTGCGGTGAGCTCATCCCGGCCGGGAGCGCCCCCCGCGCCCAGCGCCGCGCCCGCGCCGCGCGCCCCCAGCCGCTCCGCGGACCCCGCGCAGCCCCGCAGAGACGCGCGTGTCGCCCGTACCGCGCCGGCACCCAGTCGTCCTCGCCTCCGGCCCAACTGGACCTTTCACAGCCGCCGCGGACATGGCCACAGTCACAGTCCCAATGGCCTGCCCAACTGCACCCTGCTCTGGCAATCAGGGCTGCCTCACCCTCACTGCGCCGGGGGAGTCTGGGGCCTCTCTAGGGAAGCCTTCTGGGCGGGGCCAGTGGGACTGAAAGTGCCCAGTGAAGCAGGTGCTACCACCGCCCCATGTCCCCAGGCTCTCGTTACTAGCGGCCAATGCAGGCCGCACCTGGGGCCCAACAGCACCCCGCCCCCCCCCCCCCACACACACTTCCTCCCAGCAGAGCTTCTGTCTGGGCAGAGGGGATTCCTAGAACCTCCTGGCCCTGCACCCCAGAGGTTACAGCCATTAGCACAGAAAGACCAGAGTTCGCATGCACAGGGCGTGGGTCACCACCCACTCAGCCCTTACTCAGTGTTCACTGACTGGGCTCTGCGAGTGTGGTGGGTTGGGGGTCTCTGTATGCTCTGGGGACTCAGAGGATTCTGAAGGCCCCTCCCTGTCCTCGGGGAGAAGAGGGTGCTGATTTAAAGTAGCACCAGGAAGATGGAATGTTGAGAAGGGGGACACAGAGGGGCTTCCGATCTTAACACCCAAACAAACCCTGGGACGCGCAGATGGGAATCAACCGAGGCAGGGAACAGGCATGAGCAGGGCTTCAGGCTGGGACAGCGGGTCAAAGGCCTAGGTCTGAGTGGAGGAGGGGGAAGGGGGACGGCAGCCCGCAGTGTCACAGGGTCCTGGTGGCATCCGAATGGCGTCACGCGTGGTGTGACACAGTCGCAGGCACACACTTCTAGGGCAATCAGACCCCTCACCCTGACCGGCCACACAGACCCTCCGCCCTCGTGCCCGGACATCCTGAGGGCCTCACGCATGGGGGAAGCATGGGGGGGGCAGGGGTTACAGTAGACCCACTGTCCCCCACCCCAGCCCCTGGGACTTCCCCAAAAGTCCCCTCCCCTCCCCTTCCCCGATCTCCCATCCTTTCCCTAGTCCTTGGCTCCGCTCTGAGCTCCCCTCCCTCTTCCCGAGCCCCTGTTCCCTCACAAGACCTCTCTCAAGCCCGCATCTCCGGGCCCCACCTCAGGGCACCTCCCACAGGCACGCAGCCCTCCCAGCAGCGCCCCCCCAGCAAGTCCTCGCTAGCACAGGCCTCAGTTTCTCCAGACCTGAGGGAAGACTCGTGAGGGTGGCCCATCTGGTGCCGGCCCCTTCTCAGACCGGGAATGGGACCTGGGGCCGGGCCCAGGAGGGTTAATTCAGGCGTGGGGCGGGGCAGGACGTCCAAGACGCCAATACCGCCGGAGGGCTTCACTCCACAGCCATGGCCGCTGGACCTGCACACCCTGCTGGGCGCTCCTGTGCACAGATGCCTCACCTGAGCAAGGTGGGTGCCACGTGGGGGTCCTGCCATCCCCAGGGTTTCCAGGCATTGAGACGGGGGTGGGGGGGAGGCAGAAGAGGAGTGGGTGCGGTGGGAGGCAGAGGAGGACTCGGGCGTGGACGTGGGCCCTGGGGCGTGGGCATTTTGTGGAGCGGGGTGAAGCGCGGAGCCCTCGGTGCTGTGGGGGAAGGGGTCGGCCTTGCCTCCACCCGCTCCCCCCACCACCCTGTTACCAGCGTGGCCTGAAATCCCACCATCTGTGCATATTAATCTCTGCGCACACTGATCCGGCAACCCGGCCAGGCCCATGGAATCAGGATCCGGGGTGGGGGAGGCCAGCGGGGCAGCCCCTCAACACCCTCTTTGCCCAGATGGAGCGGATGGTGTTGAGTATGCAGGACCCCGACCAGGGCGTGAAGATGGGGGGCCAGCGGCTGCTCATCACAGTCATTCCTCACGCGGTGACTGGTGAGGCTGGGGGCTGGGGTTGGGGTTGGGGGGTGCCGGCCCTGCCTTGGCCTCCCCCACCCAATCTCTTCTATGTAGGCAACGACATCGTGGAGTGGCTGATCCAGAAGTACTGCATCTCAGAGGAGGGTACGGGGGCGAGCCCTGCTGCCCATCCCGACCCTTACCCGGCCTGGGGTCCCTGGGCAGATGAGGTTGGGCCTTCTGGGGCTCACCAGTATCAGGGTCAAGCCATGTGTGTTAGGGAATCATCCCAAGAGACCCTGCTCCATTCCCTCCCACTGAGAATTCACCACCTTGACTCCCGTCCCCCCAACCCCACACCCCAGAGGCCCTGCACCTGGGCCTCCTGCTGCTGCGGCACGGCTACCTGTATCCGCTCCGCGCGCCCTGCAGCCTCGTGCTCCAGCTCGACGGCACACTCTACAGGTTCCAGGTCAGGCTCGACTGGGAGTGGGTGGAAACCCCCCAGCCCGACTAGTGGGGATTTCTGGGAGGGGCGGGGCTGGGGTGGGGGCAAAATGTGGTGATATCACAGCAGGCCTGGTGGCCTACTGTCCCCTCCCCAAAAGGCCTGGGCTGGAATCTTGCTTGTGGTGGAAAGATCAAGTTAAGGGAGGGAACTTCAGTTTCTCTGGGGCCACAGCGGGGTCTCCCTAAGAGGTGGCACCTGCAAAGGGCTCTGCTAGCCTTCCCAGGCCCTTAGGCTCCCCTCCAAGAAGGAGGCCGTGTGAGGCCTGAGGACAGCCTCCCCTCAGTGCGTGTGGCCTCAGTCTTGGTGGGGGCCCCGCCTGCCCTTCCCAGCCACAGTGGGAACCCAAGGCCGGCCTGCCCTCTGCCTCTGGGCACAGACTGTGACCATATCTGGGCTTGGGAAGGCCCCACCCCACCCCTCCCTGGAGTGGGGGCTCCTGGAGCTCAGAGTCAGGAACGCAGCCCCTGCACTGGGCCCCAAGGGGTGAATGGAGCTCAGATCCAGGTGGAGAGAAGTGCCCAGTGGTCAGCTGAGCCTCCAGATCATGGGCAGACAGGCAGATCCTCAGGTAGATCCCACCGCCACCCAGCCCGGTCTCTTCCTAAGGGAGCTGAGAGGGTAGGGGCAACTCCTGGGGTGGAGAAGACCCAGGAGGTCCCAGACACCCCTTGTTCCCACATGGTACCAGACACCCTATTTTTGGACAAGCACTCTGTGGCTGGCTACTGAGCTGGACTATGGTGAGTAAGGAGGGACGGGCTAGCCTGGGAGGAGCTCCCAAGACTGGTGGCTCCGGGTGACGCTGCAGGGGTGAAGGGGGAAGACACTGCTCCTCTGCAGCCTATGCCCCTGTCCTTCCAGCCATCTACCTGGCCAAGAAGAACATGCAAAACCAGGGGGCCCTGGCCAACCATGAGAAGGTGGGACCCCCCCCCCAGGCTGAGCCCAGCCAGAGCAACCCAAGCCCCACTTGTGTCCCTCGGGCCTCGTGGTTTGCCTCGGAGCGCACAGCCCAGGTCCCAGGGTGATGCAGCCACGCAGCCACGCCACACCCTGCGGCATCCAAGTGGGGAGGCAGGAGGGCCCGTGCCTTGCCCTAGAGCTTGGCATGGAAGGGTTTACCCACTGGAGACCTTGACACCACCTCCAGGAGCACTATGACCAGCTGCACCGGAAAATCGGCCACACGTGGGACCTGGTAGTGATGCAGGCAAGAGAACAGCTGCGGTGAGCTCCCAGCCCAGCGAGCACAGAGCCCACACTGCCCAGCGGTCCGGAGGCTCTCAGCCGGGTGCTGGTAGTCACGGCACCAGAACAGCACAGCCCGGGCTTGGCCGCCTATCCTGGCCCTGCCTGAGGTGGGTGGGGGAGGCACTGTGGTGGACACCCTGTTTCCTCAACTCTGCCCATCCCCACCAGGGCAGCCAAGCAGCGCAAGAAAGGGGACAGGCTCGTCATTGCGTGCCAGGAGCAGACGTACTGGCTGGTGAACAGGCCCCCGGTGAGCCCGGTGTGTGGGGTGGGAGTGGCTCCTTGGCCGGCAGCAGATCCTACCAGGAGCCAGTATGTGCTCCTCAAATACTCTACCATGGATTGTGGGAAGGATACACCCGGTGGGGACAGGAGGTCCTAGTTCTGTGGCTCTTCAGAACCCAGAGATCATGAAACCAGGTCTAGCTAAGGCTGCCCTCACAGACCACAGGACAAAAAGCTTCTTTCTGGGTCTAAGGGAGAGGCCTGGGGAAGCTGAGCAGGGGAACCAAAAGGCCCTTGGGATGAGGCCATCGAAAGCGAGGCTTAGCCACAGCTTCTGGGGGTCCGGGCCAGGGTTAAGCCCTTGTCTGGAACTGTAATCCTCGCCACTGGTGTGAGGCCCCCTTCCTGTGTGGGGCAGTGGGGAGACGTCTGAGCCTGCAGCAGCCCCAGCAAACCATGAATGAAGCCCCCATGGGAAAGAACCCAAGGAAAAGGATTCCAGGAGGCATCCCCAGCCTGATTACTTCATCAAGTGTGTGTGTGTGTGTGGTGGGGAGCGGTTATGTTCGGGAAAATGACTCTGTCTTCCTCCTGAGGGCCTGGTGATCTAGGGTCTAGCGATCCTAGAGAAAGTGGAGTGGGCGTGGCCCAAGGCTGTGTGCCTGGGCTGAGGGCAGGGCCCAGGAGCCGACCAGGCCAGCCACGTGGGCTGAGGGCAGTGTGTGCAGGAGAGCAGGAAGGGCAGGCAGCTGGGGCCTCCAGGCAAGTAGATGAGAGGGTTCCAACTGGGCAGCGGCAGGGAGAGGGCCAGACCAGCACATGTGTGTGAGGACAGCGTGGCAGGACAGGTAGGTTTCGGGTGAGTGGGACTGTCTCAAGAAGGATGGTTAGGTGGCTAGGTTTCCAGCTTGAACTGTCAGGTATGTGGAGGTGAGCTTGGCTGCAAAGAGGAAGAATGGGGGGGGGGTGTGGAGAGGAGAGTCAGGATTCTGCTTTGGCGGCAAAGCCAGGCGGGGAGACACGTGGCCTCGGAGATCAGAGGAGCTATGTGCAGGGCGAGGCGCTGGCAAGGACAGCCAGAGTGGCGCTGGGCCTCTGGGAGGGCGGTCGCCATGGGGTGGGAATGGGCAGAGAGGGGACTCAGGGGCTCAGGACTTAGTTTTCTGAGTTCCTCTGCATGTCAGTTTCCACGTTAAAGGATGGCACGTGGGCTCGGAGCTTCAGTGTATGGCAGCCAGTGAGGGGCAGGGACAGGGCCCTAGGGTGGAGAGTCAGCAGTCCTCCTGAGCTGTGCCCCCCACTTCATCCAGTCTCCCCTCTGCAGCCTGGGGTCCCCAGCGTGCTGGAGCAGGGTCCGGAGAGGGGAGCCTACATTGTCAGGCGAGAGCAGATGGTAAGGACCCTGCACACACGCACGCCCCACCTCCTGCCCACTGCCCACGCCCCTACACATGCCCCCTGCCACTCGCACCCACAACAAGCCGGTGCGCGCACACCGCCCCGCCGCCTCTCCGCCACTGTGGGTCTACTTGGGAGCTGCCCGCCCATCTGTGCATTCATCTGTCCACCCAAATGGCACTTGACACAGCCACTCCAAGTGCCCCGCTCCCCTCCTGGTCTCATTCTCCCCTCACCCTAGTCCCCTGTTCTCAGCACCCCCACTAACTCTCGTCCCCTCGCCTCCCATCTGCTGCCCTGGGTGAAAGTAGGTGCTATGGACCCTGGGAGGGTGGGGGGCTCTTCTCCATCCCCCCGCCCTCCCCCCTGCCAGACCAGCCACCTCTCTCCAAGGCCCCCAGTGGCCTCGGGAACCGGAAGGAACAGCACCAGGACAGGCATGGCCAAACTTTGTAGCAGCAGAGCCCCGTGTTCAAATCTCATAAAAACCAAAACATAGAACAGAACAGATACATTTAGTACCTTACTGATAAAACTTCTTCCTAACTTCAAAATCATAAGCTCATGATCACAGGTTTATAATGTCCCATTATGAAGTCGATCCAGGAGAGCTGACACAAAAATTGGAAATCACAGGCCCCCGAGGGTGCTCTCTGCCTCCCCCGGCCGCATCAGGGGGAGACGCGGAGTGTTCGGAAGGGACAGGGGGTCCCAGGGCCCCTGGTGCACGAGGCAGTGGCAGGCAGGCTCCAGGCTCTGACCACGATGAGTTTGGAGCACGGTCAGCAGCCGGGGTTCCTGGTGTGACCACAGTGGTGCTCCTCAGTCCTGCACTGTTTTAAGAAAGTGACTTAACACATTTGAAAATATGGACTAGTGGTCATTGGGGAACCTCAAGGCAACTTTGAGAACATTCTGGGGACGTCCAAACTATAGGCCCCAAAAGCTTCCTGGGAAGTCAGACCCTGCCATCAGAGGAGAGGCCCCAAGGCACGCGGCGGGGCCCGGGCCCTTGTCTGCCAGCCCAGGGCGGGATGTCAGTCCCTCTCGCAGGCCTGCCTTCTCATGGCAGCTTTCCTGGCCTCTTGCAGACCAAGAACATGGATTTCTATAAATGGGAGGTAGGTCCTGGGGGTCAACACAGGGAAGGGGGTGGGCCGGCCCCGGCCCAGACCCCGCCTCACAGGTCCCATGTCACAGATCGAGTACTGCAGGAAGGCGCTGGGCAGGATCCGGGTGAAGTCCTCCGTCTGCCTTGAGGCGTGAGTGGGAGGGGGTGGTAGCAGGAGACCCCAAGCCCAGCGCCCAGACCCTTCCTCTAGTGCCCTTGACCCATAGCCCCTCCCTGCACGTGCCCCTGGCCCCACCCCCACCCCAGGTACCTGAAGTTCAGCAGCCAGCACGGGCCACATGACCCCATCACGTCAGGGTGCCTGCCCAGCAACCCCTGGATCACAGACGATGACACCTACTGGGCCATGAACACATCCAGGTGAGCCCAGGGCGCGAGAGGGCTCTGCAGGGTTCTTCCCAACTGCCCTCCCACCTCACGTTTCTCATGCTCCTGACACCGCCCCCCTCCAGTGTGGCCGTACCCACAAAGCTCCGTGTAGAGCGATGGGGCTTCAGCTTCCGGGAACTCCTGGAAGACCCTGTGGGCCGGGCCCATTTCATGGACTTTCTCAGGAAAGAGTTCAGTGGTGAGACGCCCCCACCTCCTGTTTGAGGCCCCAGTGAGGGAGGCTGGGACTCCCCCCACCCCATTTCTACTGGCCCTGGCTGCAGCTTGGGGTGGGCCTGACCACCTGGTGCTTGGATGCCCCAGCCGAGAACCTCAGCTTCTGGGAGGCGTGTGAGGAGCTGCGCCACGGAGGGCAGGCCCAGGTCCCTGCCCTGGCGGACTCCGTGTACCAGTGAGTTTCAGAGGTGGGCCTGGCTGGCTGGAGGGTAGGCCTGTGGAGCCTGGACCCACCCCGGGGCTGTCAACCCTGTCCCCTTCAAAGGCAATTCCTGGCCCCTGGCGCTGCCCGCTGGGTCAACATTGACAGCCAGACAATGGAGCTGACCCTGGAGGGCCTGTGCCGACCCCACCGCTACGTGCTGGACGATGCCCAGATGCACATCTACATGCTGATGAAGAAGGTGGGGCACCTCCACTCGGACCCTAAAGCCACTTCCAGACTTCCGTGTGTAGGTGTTTCAGGACGTTCCTCCACAGGACGTGGGCCACCTCCTCCCCTTCAACACGGCTGCAGATGCCAGCAGCACACCCAAAGCAGTCGTAACTCAGTGTCCTCAAATAGCCACTTATGGGCCATACCTGCCCACGTGGCCTCTTGGGCTAGTTTCCTGTTGCTGCTGTAAAAAATGCCACAAACTTGGTGGCTTAAAGGAACGCGTATTCACTCTCTGGAGGCCGGAGTCTGACGCGAGGATCTCTAGGCTGGAGTCAAGGTGTCTGCAGGGCTCTGTCCTTCCGGAGGCTTTAGGAGAGAATCCAGTCCGTGGCTTTTCCTTCCTAGGCGCACCTGCACTCTTAGCTCATGGCCTGTTCTCCACCTCCAAGGACAGCAGTGTATCGCCTTTTTTTTTTTTTTCATTTAAATTTTTTAATAATTTATTTATAGCATTGGCTGGTGTGGCTCAGTAGATTGAGTGCTGGCCTGCAGACTGAAAGATCGCCGGTTCGATTCCCAGTCGGGGCACATGCCTGGGTTGCGGGCTAGGCCCCCTGCTGGGGACATGCGAGAGGCAATAGATTGATGTTTCTCTCTCACGCATTTATGTTTCTCTCCTTCTCTTTCTTTCCCTCTCCTTTCTCCTCTCTCTAAAAATAAAATAAAATACTGATTTATAAATTTTCATTATAATTGAGATACAATATTGTATTAACATAGCAGCGGTGTATCTCTCTCTCTGACCCTCCTGCCTCCCTCTTTCACTTACAAGGATCCCCGTGATTGCACCAGGCCCACCTGGGTAGCCCAGGCAGGCTCCCTGTGTTAACACCATTAATTTAATCACATCTGCAAAGTCCCTTTGCTGCATAGGGGGACATAGTCACAGGATCTAGGGATTAGGGAGTAGACATCTCTGGGCAGTTTTCTTTTTTAAGATTTTATTTATTTATTTTTAGAGAGAGGGGAAGGAAGAGAGAAAGAGAAGGAGAGAAACATCAGTGTGTGGTTGCCTCTCCCTATCCGGAGACCTGGCTCACAACCCAGGCACATGCTCTGACTGGGAATCGAACCAGTGACCCTTCAGTTCGCAGGCCGGCACTCAGTCCATTAAGCCACACCAGCCAGGGCTCCATCTTTTCTTTTTAATTTTTTGTTTTCTTTTGAAGGAACTAGGTCCTTTGTCTCACATAGTTTCCCACAGTCTGGACTTTGTGGGATCCCTGTGGCATCTTTGACATGTTTCTCTGTCCCCTGTAGTCACAAAACACTGGTGGTTGCATTTGTCTTGATCAGGAGTCATTTTCAGCTTTGTTGTTTGTTCAGTTTTGTCAAGAATATTTTCTTCAATTTGGTATGTTCTTCCATCAGGAGGTCCATGAGGTTTGGCCACTTCCCTTTTTGTGACTGAGTAACCACAGACAGTTGTTCCCCGGACTCACGGTTCCGTCAGTGATGTCCTGATCCCATCACTGCCTCTTTGTCACGGGGGTGTCCAACCCGAGGCCTGCGGGCCGCATGCGGCTCAGGATGGCTGTGATGCGGCCCAACACAAAACCGTAGATTTACTTAAAACATTATGAGATTTTTTTGTGTGTGATTATGTGTTGCAGTGTGTTTAATGTGTGGCCCAGAGACGCCAAAAGGCTGGACACCCTGGAGCAGCTGGGGGCCTCCCCTTGCCTGCTCTCTGCTGGCCCAGTGCTGCCGCTCACGTGGGAGAGACAGGATCAGTGCTTGCTTCCTGCTTTTAATTACCGCTTATCAAAATAGTGAGCTGGATCCCTGATCTGTCAAGGGAGGTCATGAGGTTTCAGTGTTTTTATTATTTATTTATCCACTTATTTTAAACATTTTATTTATTTATAAAGAGAGGGGAAGGGAGGAAGAGAGAGAAACATCGACCAGCCCCTCGTGTGGGTCCTACCCGGGATGGCCCTGGAACCGCTCCGTCGTGACGTGTGCTCTGGGTGCTGTCTCCCGCTGGATGTCCAGCTCCACTTGTGACACTTTATTCTCAGTGTCTGGGGACTGCTTATGTATTATTCATTTTATAATAATGTGAAATATCCACACAGTTTCAAAACTCAATCTGTAAAGCAGGGTACATCCAAACAAATCTACCCATCGTCCCTGCCCCTCTACCTTCTTCTCCTTTTCCCAAGATACATTTATATTTTCCTTTTTAAAATATTCGCATTTAGCCCTGGCTGGCGTAGCTCAGTGGGTTAAGCACGGGCTGGGAACCAAAGTGTCCCAGGTTCGATTCCCAGCCAGGGTACATTCCTGGGTTGCAGGCCATAAGCCCCAGCAACCGCACATTGATGTTTCTCTCTCTCTCTCTCTCTCTCTCTCTCTCTCTGTCTCTCTCCCTCCCTTCCCTCCCTAAAATAAATAAATAAATAAAATCTTAAAAAAAATTCCCAACATATTATTAAAAAAAATTCGCATTTAGGTCCTCTCCCATTTTGTTGTCCACTGCACAGTTTTTCTCAACCTTATTTTCTATGTGGCTCCGTGTCTCGCCCTCATCCTGTGGGCAGGCAGCTGCTCACTCCCTCACCAGCGGTCCGGTGGCTCGCCCCTCCTCGAGTGGGTGCTGGGCTCTTGCTCGTCTTTGATTGTCCGGTGGCCCAACTGGATGGGGGCCCAGGTCTCTGTGGGTCAGCCGGATTAGGGCAGGTCTGGGATGGCCGCTTCCAGCCCCGTCTACTGGAAGCTCTGAGCGTCAGAGGCGTGCCAGGCTGAAGCCGGCGGGGGGGGGGGGGGGAGCCGAGCTCGAGGAGGCAGAAGGCGCCAGTCAGGGCTGACGCCCATCTCTTACAGGACTCCTACCCAAGGTTCCTGAAATCGGACATGTACAAAGCTGTGCAGGCAGAGGCTGTGATCCCCCTGGAGACAAGGAGACGGTGAGCCCAGGGGGTGCCCTGTGCCTAGGAGCTGTGAGGCAGGCGGGATGCTCAGGGGCGCCCTGTACTCAGGCCCCTTCTCACCCACAGAGTGTTCCCGTTCCTGTGGAGGCCGCGACATTTGAGCCCCAGACCTGCTTTGCTTCCTGCCTCCGCCTCTGCCTCGGGGGACACTGCAGCTGCTGCCCACGGCCCTGGGGGTGGTGATGGGGAGGCGTAGTTGGGCCCGAGCCTGGAGGAAGAAGTGACCGGCCTCGCCTCTTGTCACCCTTTTCTAGCCTAGGGTCCTGGCAGAGGCCAGACCCCCAGCATGGGCACCCCTTGTGCACGGAGGGGCTGGCCTTGCTGTGGGGCACTCAGGTCTCTCAGGATTCCAGGTGCCGACTTCCAGGGAGGGGTGTCATTGGCTGAGCTTGGGTCACCTGGCGAAAGGTGGGACGAGATGGGCTAACCAGACGAAGGCCACGCTCCTGGTATCATGGTCTTCAGTTCGGTGCTAGATGCCCACCTCCTCCCCAGAACCATTACATCGGTAGGGGGGCACCTGGCAGCCGGACGCACAGACAGGTGGTCCCCAGCAGGAGGAAACTACCCACACTGCAAAGCTAAACTACCCACTCCCCTTTGCCAGCGACTCCCATGGGCCCCCACAGAGCCGCCTGAATTTTGCTGGGGCTGTGCCCAGCCTTCCAATGAGTACAGAGCTGTGCCCACAGGTGCTGTCCTGACCTTCACCGTCACTGCGCATTGCAGACCTGTCACGAAGGGGCACCTCTCTGGTCTTCTCAAGTCTCCCGAGGCCATGGCTTCTGTGCCAGTTGTGCAGAGACGACTCCTACATTGTCGCCCCTCTGACAACTGTCCCAGTTCTGGTCCTGCCTGGGAGGGCAGGGGCAGGCGCCCTCACCTCGGAGGGCCCCACCTTCCCCTAGACTCAGGGTGAAGGGACACCACTCCTTTGGGGGTGTAGCTCTGGCTCAGCTGAGAATCTTGTGTCCCTCGGCCAGCTCCCCTCACAGGCCTGGACTGCTCCCGCCCATTCCTGGTGTGGGAATAAAAGACCCTGGCCTCCCCCTGCTGTGGTCCCAACTGTGTGTGCGCACGAGGCAGGTGGGCATCAGTGAGGGAGGTAGTGATGGACAATGTGGGGAGCTCGAACTCCTGTGTGCAGGTGCCCAGGAAGGGGGAAGACCAGCCTTCAGGCCAGACTCAGGTTGCACATGTGGGGGTGTTTGGTTTGGGGGGAGATGCTAGGAACACCGCCTGTGCTATGAGGGGCGGGCAAGGATGCCTCAGCACTCCAGGGGGAGTGCAAAATCAGTACAGGTTCCCAGTACAGAATCCGCTGTCTCCCAGGCAGGTTGTGCCCTAAGGTCGGGCAGTCCCAGGAACTGGCATGGACCCCTGAGGGCAAGACTGCTTCCTTTACAAGTCCAGGGTGCCGGAGGCCCACCGGCGAGGGCATCCGGGGCTCAGCCCCCTAACTCCTGCTCACCACCCCCGGACCTGTATAGGGTGCTCCCTCCCGAGCTGGCTCCTCAGCCCAGGGTGGGGGACCCCAACCTGGTACTGAATCCTTGGGTGTCGCTCAAGCCCCCAGCCCTGCCGAACCCCAGGTGACTTTCACTTGTAGACCTGTCACTTTCACAGGGAGTTTTTAGGGGGCAGGCATGAGGTCACAGGGACAGCTTTTCATATTTAAATGTCCACAGGAAATTACTACAGGATTCTCTAAAACCCTTTCCCTCATCACTTTGGTACCCGAAGCTGCATCTCACTGAAGCCTTCCACCTGGGCAGCCGCCAGACCTCACCCCCAACCCCACCCTGGCCAGCCCTAGGAAGACACAGGGCTACTGATGGACCCACCGCACTGCCTTCCCCAGGTGGATGCATGCCCACGCCCACACCCACGGGCTGGGTTTCTGTGAACAGGAAGGGGGTCCTCAAACCTGAGAGGCACTTGAAGGTTGTGCAGAAAAAGACCTCTGGGCTTTTCTGCTCTGGCAAGTGTGTGTGTGGGCGGCGGGAAGAGTTGCTCTGAGAACCACAGGTAGAGGGCCCCTCCTCTGCTCAGCCACCTTTCCCGCCCTGACCCAGAAGCCTGGCCAGGAGCAAACACAGATGTGAGGCGCACGTGTACCCTCTGGGGCCTTTCCAGCCAGTGCAAAAACCATTTATTCTACTTTCTTCCTGTGCTACCCAGAGCCATCAAGGTTTATTTATTTTGCCCGGGCGCAGCTGAGCTGCACACACCCCAGCGGCCCTGGGGTGTAGCAAGGCACAGAGGTGAGTCCTGTGTCAGGGGACACCAATGCCAGGGAGATCTGAGCACCAGGAAGGGGGGGAGCTGGCTCCACCTGGGGTACAGGGACAAGTGGGACAAGTGACTCCAGTGTGTACGAAGAGGGTACAGAATGACCCCAGTGCGTGTCCTATGGCCAGTTCCTTGGGAAATTCACAGCACGAGCAGCCAGCACAGGGGCGGAAACCCGCCTCGGGGCACCCGCCGGCAGGGCCACCCATCACGTCCTGCAAGCCAAGTTCCTCACAAGCTGGGTCGAAGGGGGTCCCCACAGCAAGGCACCACCAACCACGCCAGAAGCGCTGGGGGCTGGTACTGCCTGAGGTCGCACTGCTGCCCTGATGCCACCCCAGGGCCCACCACCCTCTGAGCGGCATGATCTCAGGGGGACAGTGCAGAGTGGAACAAGCTAAGATGGGAAATGGAGTGGGTGCTTCCACCGGAGGGGTCTGGGCTCTGCTCCCTGCCGACCACAGTGAAGGCAGCTGGCCTTAAGCATGTGACCCCACTGGGGCACAGAGTGAGGACCGTGTAAGGACACAGGATGCTGGGCAGGAGAGGTCTGGGTGCCCCCTCACCCACCCACGTCCCTGGGGATTCGGGGAGCCCCGGGGACAGCGTGGCCAGGCTCAGCGTGGGGCGTCAGTGCACAGGTCCAGGGGGTGAGGGCCAGCTTCCTGGGGTGTTTGCCTGCAGCAGCTGCAGCCTCTTGCACGTGTCCCGGCCACTGTGCGTCTAGGTCTCACTCCGGTACCGCAGGCGGGAGAGCCGGTCCCTGATGGCCTGGTCGCTGTCCGTCACACCCTCGGTCAGGCGAACCACCCGGCTGCTCAGGATGAGGTCCTGCACCTTGTGCTTGGCCATGGAGACGAGGCCGGGTGCATCCGCGCTGTCCGGGCCCGTGAGGAGGATGTAGGCGGCATGGCGGCCCGGTTCAAACAGGGCCACTGGGGAGGACATAACGGTCAGGTCTCTTGGGACCAGACTCGGCAGACCTCCCTGTGGGCGGGGCCCAGGACTGCACCAAGGCTACACTCACCTTGGAAGGCCACGATGTTGGTGGAGATGTTGGCCAGCTCCAGCAGGACGCCGGGCAGGGTGGGGTGAAACATGTACAGGCTGTTTTGGCTGTCTCGGGGCTCCTGCAGGGAGAACTAGCAATGGGTCTCGGGGCTGACCAGGGCTGCGGCCATCTCCGCATCTGGGCCAAGAACCCAAGTGTCCTGGGCCTGGTAGCTGGGTAATGCTGTGCCCATCTCTAATGAGACACTCCTCACAGCGACCACGACCAGACCTGTGTGTGCTGCGGTCCCCGCCTGGAGTCCCCACTTTCCATCCCTCTTCCCCCACGCTGACCCTGTACATCCCAGATTCTTCCCAGATTCCCCTTGTCTCTGCTCCAGAGGCAGACTCAAGCCCTGGCCTCCCCTGTGGCCAGGGCATTGCCTCATCCCCCCCAACCTCCCACGACTCCTGTTTATCTGTGTGCGTCCAGTCAGCCAATTAGCTCCTCAAGGAGGGACCTAAGACTGGCCCCGAGCCTCTGGCCCTGGCTCCTGGGCTGGGCGTGTCTGGGCTGTGCGCTCTGCCCGTACCATCTGGTTAGCACCAACCAGCTCGTGGAGGCCCCAGAAGAAGAAGGCGGAGCGGTGGTCTGCGGTGGGCAGGCTGGCTGACGGAGGGTGCCCAGGGAGGCCTGGAAGGGCCTGGCTCCATAGGACGGCCCCAGTGCTGAGGTCCAGGAGCAGGATCTGGGGAAGGAAAAGACAGCGTGGGGGCGCTGACATGGGGTCGCACAGGCATGTGGGCCCTCAGCTATGCCGGCCCCGGACGAGGTGCTCCCTGGGGCTGACTAGGATGTCCCCGAGGCCTCTCTTGTCTTAGCTCAGCCTCCAAGCTGCAGCCCTGCCTGCTGTTCAGACTAATTTTCCTCAGCTACAAACAAAGGCGAGACCACAAAAAGGAAGTGGAGCCAACCTGTCTGTCAACACCAGTTCCATTCTCAATGACCACAGCCAGGGTGTCAGGTTTGTAGTGACCAAGGGTGGGTTTTCTAGACAAACAGAGAAGAAGTCACAGGGGTCTCTGTGAGGAGATACCTGGGGACAGGCATGCCACCCATCTTCTCCTTGGCCGAACTTGGGCAGGGGCAGGGGCAGAGGGCGTCACCAGCCCCTCAGTGCAGGGCAGCACCAGAGGGCCGGCAAGAGGCCCCTCGCAGAAGCATTCCGGCCCTCTCACCCCTTCCAATGGGGGGCCTTGACCCCAGGGTTGCTGAAGGGGTGGGCTGATGGTGCCCAGCTTGCGACAACCGCACGCGTTCCTGGAGCAGACCCCATACCTGAGGACCTGGGCTACGCCGAAGGTCCACCTGGGGGCCAGCTCCTGTCCGTCCAGAAGCATGCAGGCCTCCGAACCCACGAGGAGGAGGTCCTCGCCGCCATTCCCAGGAACGTTCATCAGATGACTGATGGCTCCAGGGCTGGAGGAGGTGGGAGGGCACAGCTCGGACACAGAGCCCAGGGGCAGGGACCCTCCCCAAGCACTGCCCACCAGACTCCCATGAGCAGCCCCATATTTCTTAGTTCCCTAACTTGAGAATATCAAACAAGACCCTCCCCATGCATGGAGAGAGGGTGAGCCTACTGTTGGGAAACTTCCCTGTTTTTTTTTTTTTTTTAAGATTTTCTTTAAAGATTTCATTTATTTTTTTTTTAGAGAGGGGGAGGGAGGGAGAAGGAAAGGGAGAGAAACGTCAGTGTGTGGTTGCTGTTCGTGTGCCCCGACCTGGGGCCCTGGCCGGGAACCCAGGCCTGTGCCCTGACTGGACATCGAACCAGCAACCCTTTGATTCGCAGGCTGGCACTCAACCACTGAGCCACACCAGCCAGGGCTGTTTTGTTTTTAATAAAGATTTTATTTGTTCCCCTGGCAGGTGTAGCTCAGTGGATTGAGCACAGGCCTGCAAACCAAAGGGTTGCCGGTTTGATTACCAGTCAGGGCACATCCCTGGGTTCCCGGCAAGGGCCCCAGGTCGGGGCACACGAGCAGCAACCACACATTGATGTCTCTCTTCCTATCTCTCTCCTTCCCTTCTCTCTAAAAAATAAATACAATCTTCAAAAAAAAAGATTTTATTTTTAGAGAGAGAGGGGAAGAGGGGGAAGAAGAGAGGGAAAGAAACACTGGTGAGAGAGAGATACATTGATCAGTGGTCTCTCAGACAAGCTCCAACCAGGGACTGAACACACAACCTAGGCATGTGCCCCAACTGGGAATCAAACCAGCAACCTTTCACTTTGTGGGACAAAGCTTAACCAACTGAGCCACAATAGGCAGGGCTTCCCTGGTTTTCATGTGGCTTCTATTCACCCAGGTCCAGAGTTGGAGCCCAGGGGGACCTCACAGTACCAGCGGCCAGGCCCTCAGCCCCGGCTGCTCTGAGCACTGAGGAACACGACCCGGCCTGTGTGACGCCACCCAGGCCCACCTGTGCAAAAATAGCCCATGCTTGGTGGCGTTGAGCATGTCCTCCCAGCTGGGGTCTCTCCTTAGTGGGCTCTGTCTCCCGGTCACTTTTTCATAGATGTCCTTCACAGAGCGGCCACAGAGCGAACTTGCTACTCAAAATACAGAAGAGCCTCAGGTCACCAGGGGTTGTTGCTAGGAGACCAGGAGGCTGTGCGCCCATCAGCCCCACCTC